ATCTGAAATCAGTGTGGTAAGCAATGTTGAGTAAGGTCTTTGCAAAAAGCTTAAAGACCAATTTAATCAGTTTCTTCACATTTAAGATTTCATAGACACTGATTCAGCAAAGCATTTACCTATCCTAAGCATGCAGCTAAATTCTATGAAACGTACTGTCTGTGTCAGCAAAGTAGAGCTCTTGAAACAATTGCATCAGTGCCTCTTACAAACTACTGCAAAAATGCAACTAGCTATTGCAACTGCTCACACTAAGATTATGATCTTAAAGTGCGTTACGCAAGCATGAGGGAGCGCACGATAGCACACAGTCAAGACAAGGACTACTTTAGTTAACCACACCATGGACTCTACTAGCTAATCAGAAACAGCCAACATAACTGAAAGGACAGTTCTTTTCTACTCAGAGCAGTTAACAATATGTTAGCTAAAGCCAAGTCATTTCTCTCTTTTAAACTATCTGGGAAAACTTTAGGATTGAGGCCTTACCTACGAGTAGCAGCGCTACAGAAGGTCTGCTTGTTTGTTTTTGACCCAAACTATACTTTCATCTTTCCATTACTCTTAACTGCACCTCTCACTTACATCGCTGTTCTCACTGCATACACCTAAATACACGGTTCAAGAACATACCTTGAGATAGTTTACTTCTCACATTTTTTTTAAAGTTACTTGAATACTACACTGAATAAAAGGCGGCAAAACTGAACAGTATTTGTTTACATACAGCATTGTAATTCATCCAAACCTGTTTTGGCTTATAATGCCTATAAAATGTCCTAGAAAATGCTGCAGATGGTCTCCTTCATTTCAACAACTGAAGGGTGACAGGACTTTTTGTGCTCCCGTCTTTTGGACTCTGCTTAGGAGAAATTGTGTGCTTTCAAAAAAGAATTTGCAGGATCTAGTAACATAATTCTATTTGCTTTTGGGAATCTGATCATGCCCAATAAGTAAAGATTATATTTTCTCTCCAGTGGGTCTGTCTGCTATCAGAATAAATCAAGATTTGTGTTTATACACCAAGAGAAAATCAGGCATTCTCAGTTTCGACAACTCATTTTAAATTAAGGAAAGCAGCAAAGGACTTTCAAAGGAAAAAAACTTTATCTATTTCAAAGACTCCTGCCAGCTCCCCAGACTTATTTGTCTCTTCATATTCTTTACGGGTACAATACACAGGAAAACAATTCAGGCAAACAAGATGAAGCAGGGGGTATTTTCTGAAAATGCTTCACGGATGAAGCTTCAACAAAACTGTGCTCATGAGAGAATGAAAGTTGTATCACTATCTTTAAAACTGGAGTTAAGTTCTAACAACTAATGAACTTCTTATTAAGTTTCCTATTTAGGGTGATGAACCTATAAGCATCATCGGTATGACGACAGCTACTAAATAACTTTTTGTGTACAATGTTTTGGGAACAATGTCTCCCACGCCCACAATGCCCCTTACCATACTGTCTACAGTACTGCCTGAGATGGACAGCACCTGCCTTCTTCGCTGCCAAGCAATAACTTAACACCTTTCATTATATACTTGTCCTCCAACAGTACAACAAACAATGATTACCTTCATATGTTTTCCAAACCCAACTCAGCTACTTTCAACCAAATCACATATGATGTTCGGTTTACCAGAAAGAAATAGGGGGAAACAAAGAGTGACAAGACAATAAAAATAAATACCACGAGGAAAATATTCAGAATAGGCCACTGACTAGCGGGAGTCCAACTTGAAGCACACTCAGCCCTAATTTCCATTAGTTTTAAGAATATGAAAGATTAAGGAATCTAAAATCAAAGGCCATATTGCAAATTTTGACTTTTATAACTACAGTGCAAGTTTCACTACCTCAGTTTCAAAATGTGGCTTAAGACATCGCAGATTTCATAATTCAGAATATCCCAGAACCCCGACAAATGTCTCTGCCTCTCACTAAGTTTCATTATCATGTGAGGTGCAGGGCATAAATTACACATGTTCTCCTACAAGAGGACATTCATGTTCAGAGACTCTTCTCTTACATTTGGCTTTTTTGAATTGTCTTGTGTTAGCATTAAGAGCTATGTCATTCTCTGGCCAAGGCACAGATACTATCAGCTTTCCTTTTTTAAAACATATTTCTGTCTAGGAACATTTCAGTTATATATACTTTGAGCCAAAGTTACATTAGATAATTCCTGGGAGACACTCATTAATCATTTCAAACATTTTCACTATTTCTCCTAAGGGAATACCATGGTTTGGCCTCTGGGGATTATGTTTACGCTATTTTGGTTCCTTCAGTCTTACCTTGCAACTAAAATGATTCACTTCTGGCTTAATGCTTAATACTGACTGGACTCTCTTCTCCATCCTAACAGTAAAGAATATCAAGCAGAGCGTGTCACACAGGAAGCACTGGAAGCGATCCCCGGCTTTCCTACTAGCCCTTCCCTTGCACTCTCGCAGTGCCAACGGGAAATCCTGGGCAGTGTAGAGCCAGTCCCGTAAAGTTCATGCCACCATAGCACATGTATGCACTTAAGCGCAGTGCATGCAGTCTGGCCATACTTCTCAGTCTTTTTATGAACCAGTCTAAAACCTGCTGACGTGAACAGGAGCCTTTCGGTTCTGCACCTGAGTACAGACTTTGCAGGAGCTTTGTGCAAAATTTCCCGCTCCGTTTTTCCTTTACCTTTCTAGTAGCGTGAGCAGGCAGCCTGAACTATTAAGTTGCTGGATAATAACATGTGACTGACCAGTCTGCATTATAAATACACCAATACATGTTCACAAAAGTGTCCAAAATCGCATCAGTCATTTTCTCCCTTTTGTGTTCTGTTCCCCCTCAACTGGGCTAGAACTGTAAGCCCCACCCTACCGGGACCTCAAGGCAAACGAGCAGCCTGTCCTCCACTTTGGGAGGCAAAGAGTCCCTCCTTCAGCAAACATCAGTTGCTCCAAAACTGGATCACAGATCAGTGCTGAACCCTATCACACTCCTCTCCCTGCTGGTCTCTGCATTCTAGGTCCACAGCAATACCACTAGGCTGATGGACTAGGTCCACCTTAAAGAGAATTCAAAATCAATGCACAACATCGCAGAGTAATGTTTCATTATGAAAAATAACAGTCCCTGTATTCTTTGGACCACCTAGTGGGCAGCTTTTTTTGTGAATAACAGCTTACATAGTATAGTCCTACATTATAAAAAACATGTCTTTTACACTGTTCTTATTCCAAAGGTAAAGTTTGATACTTGCTATTTCACTCGGTTTTCATAATAGGTCTAACAAAATTCTGTGCTTAAAAATACACCTTGTACAGTAAGAAAGGAGAGAGATGCAGCAGGACGTGAAAGCATCTAAATTTCTTAGTGCAAGCTGTGCTTTTAAAAGCACCCAAGGAAGCTGTTATTCTTCAGCAGGTTTACTTCCTTAACAGTTGCTCATCGGAGCATGCTTTCTATGATCACCTATCTGAGTATCGTCATGCTTTACTGAGAAATTTCTTACTGTTTTGTGTGTGCATCCTTATTTTTTAACATCTATATGTTTCTTAAAATAGCTCAGGTCACTGTTGCATTCAGCTCTTCTTTAATTGGTATTCTTCTATCACATCACAGTTTTGAAGTCTCCTTGAACTACTGGTTAATGGTCCTGAATCACATGCTTGCTAAGCGTGCAACTCTGCCAATTTCACCCTCTCTTAAGTACTTTACTCCAGATCTGATGTCACTGATTTCAAGAAAACTAGTTGCAGGGTAACATGCAACATCCAGCAAGAGTAAGGATGACAGATTTGGGCCGACTGCCTTCCTCAAGAGGGTTTGCTGCAATGAAGATATTTTCATTTGACAGGTTTATTGTTTAACAAGTATTAATTTAAAAGAGTAAGGTACATGCGTACAAGAGAGTATAATGGAGAGTACAATGGATTTCTCAACCTGTTGTGTTTACATATGGTTCTGTCTTTAGCCTGGAAAACACGTTATGCCTGTATAAAAGTTTGAAAACATTGAATTTGCATTATTTCCCGTAACAGAAAGATCTGCTCCTACATATACCTGTCTTCTTAATGTTACATCGTAAATTGTTTAAATGAACTCTCTGTGAAGTTTAAGCACGGAAATTGCAGGATTAGGGCTCAAGTATTTAGATAAAGAATTGTCGTCTTACAAGACCAGAGGTGTCCCATTAAATATATAAGTAGAAATGGTAATGTATGACACAAAGTTATAAACATCTCATTTTCAGGAATAACCTGGAAATTAGTGTATTACCTTTCATATTTTGGCTCTAATTATAGGTATCACATTATCAGCCTACTTCACCTTCAGCTGTGGAAGGTATTTTATAATTCAGTATGGAAGTTTATATTCAGGGATTTTCAAGCACAGAATAATTACAATAAAGGAGAAAAATATTTTGATAGGTAATGATTTCCTGGAATATTGAAAGATAAATCAGATAAAATGCAAAAGAAACAAACTTATTTCATAATGCTTTGCTTGTTTTAAGCTAATACTTGACCATGGCAAAAACAGCTTATCAGCAAACAGAATAAAAAACATTGCATAGATTTTAATGTTACTGCAGTCTTTCCTGTGTTGCAGCCTGAATCTTTGTGAGTGTAAACAAACAAGTTGCCTTTATTCTGCCAAATGTGAGGGCTTCATGACTGACTTGCACTTTTGAGGCTGGAAGGCAAAGGAAAGCTAAAGCTCTTGAAAGCCAATTTGATTTCATTAAAAAGATATTTCAAGATTATTAATCATGTTTTTAATAGAAAATTTATTCTAAACATCTCTGTACTTCTGCCTCTGTACTTAGGTACTCAGGGGCTTTTTTATATTTTCATGTTGAAAATATGTGGAATAAAGTTCCCACATGTTTCCTGCCTTCCAAGGGATTTTTAAAAGAGCACATCAGTGTATAAAGCAAGTTACATGCTGACAACAAGTAGCTAATAAATAGTAAACGAAAGATCTCTGTCACTTTAATATATTTCTTACCTTCTTTCTTATGGGGTCTCAAGGGACTTGGTAACTGACGGTCTGCAACTGACTGGGATTGGCTAATGGACCGTGCATCATTCATTTCAAACGGATGTTTTAGAATAAACGGAGAAGCAGGAATCTCATCCAAATCCTTCTGGAATAAAGAATATTGTTTTAGAAACCTAACTGGTGTACTGATTACACTCTGCCACAATAATGTTTAGTTGTGATCGCACAGAGAGCAACTGCACGTTTTCTACAACTCTGCGAAATATCCAATGCTAGATTAAAGTTACACAAGATTCTTGTGGCTTTCAGCAACACCGACTTAGTGCCTGTGTCACAAACATTTATTTACCTTTTCCGTTTAACTTATTTATCCCCTTTCCTCATGCAGTTAATCATAGCATGCACTGTATGCTGATTTTCTCTCATAGTTAATTTGTATCTTTAGAAAAAAAGCTATAGGAAGGTATTAATCTGCTTAACATTTCTAAGTACATCATCCAAGGGATTTTGTTTTTTTAATCTTACATATGCTCAGCAGAGTTACTGGCAAAAACTGTACATTTTCTCCATTTCATCCTTTCAACATCAAATGGTAAGCAGCAAAAATTGGATCAGACTTCAAAGACTATGCTGTGCTCCAAGTCACAGAGCGACTCCTCCATTTCACATATTGAATTCGAGCAGGATATCAAAGTGCTACCAAAGAACCTCAGGTCCTTACTAAAAAAGAGGCTCTAACATCTGTAGAAAGTGAAGTGCACAGACAAATCACCTCAGGGAGCAGCTAGCATTTATTCTCAGCAGCAAATTTCCAGCCTTTTGATTCTCTTATTCACTGTACCTCCCTGTCTTTCTACAGAACTAAAGTTCTTAGCAAGCAGGCTTTTGTCTCAAAGACTTCAAAACATCACTAACGGTTTCATGTTCAGATGGCTACGCCAAGCAGCCATGAACACGTTGCAAAACTGTGGACTCAGGAATTTGAAGTTACAATACAATGTTATTTTAGACTCTAAACTTAGTAGTACCTTTTTTCTTTGTTTGTCAAGAAAACCAGGCACCACAGGAGAACACTGGTTACTGGTTTGCTGCCTAAAAGCAAAGGAAAATAAAATATGTAGTTTAAATATTGTAATTTCTTCATTCTTATAAAAGGTTTACTGGCATACACCTTTTTTTCTGTTGATTCCCCCTTCCCCCCGCACCCAATTTCTAACTATGCACATACGATCAATGCAGAGAAAACACAGACCAGCTCCATTTCCTCTTACAAGGAAGTGCATGTTATTAAACACAGTAACTGGCTACGAGCAATGAATTTGTCGTTAAAAATTTGTGGATAAGTGCACATGTGTAAAATGAGTTTATGAGAATTCTATGAAATTGAAGTCATTTATTAAAATTAATTTGACAAGATTTTACATGAAACGTTCTTCCCTCCAGAGGCTGTGAAAAGCCGTTTTCACAGAAAAATTCAAACCTGAACACTTAGAAAACTTGACAGAGGAGGAAGAGGTGAAACGCATGGCTTTGTGTTCTCCCAAAGACATGTGGGGTTAAGCATAGAGCAAGGAAGTACAAACTCCTAGACTCCTAGTCTGCAGGTCCTGATCCTCGTTGGCAGGCCTTTGAAGTCAATGGATCTCTTCAACAAAAAAGTCCACAGAAACAGAATTTCCTCCAGCCTCTCTAGCCATGCAAAACCAAAAAAGATGCTACAAACTTCATTTGACAGGTAAAAAATGAGGTTGATAACGATTATCTGATATGTCCATGCTCCTAGGACCGGGATTAAATCCAAGATTTTCTGTTTGTCAGAACATGCCTCGCTTACTGCATCATAACTTTCCAAGCCTCTCACAGCCTTTCTGAAAATGTAATTAACGGCACTTGCATTTCGACCTATAGATGAAAACATCTTAAATCTGAGTTTTAGTTATAGATTTCCGTTTATAATATACATCATAGCTTTTTCATAAATGGCAAACAGCTTTTTAAGGCATTAAGCAGCTTTTTCAATTTTATACAGTTATTCTAATGAATGCATTTCAGCCCTTTCATTCACAGTGGGAAGTGGAAACATAAAGAACAAAAATTGCTTTACCAAGTAACAAAAAAATACAGTATACATCGCCCTAAATTTCCTAGTCACTTCCTATGCTCCAGTCAGCTACGTTAAATAGAAATGACTCATGTAACAACAGAACAAAATGCTGGACTTTAAAAAAGTGTCTGGCTACATGTGTATTTTACCTTTTGAAATGCACCTTTAAAATCTACCTTTAAAAAAATACTTCAGATTAAAGCAACACTACTGAAGGGCTTGAAACATTTTAAACTATTATCTTTTGAATTTGATAGTTGTATATTACCATGCATATGTATTAGATAATACATTTGCTCTATCCTATCCACAGAGGCTGATAAAGCATTTCAAGTCTTATATTGCAATGGGGTTTAGGCTCCTATGTTAATTAAGTTTGTCTGAATGCATTACCCCATTTGAAGGAGCCGACTTCAGTTGTTTCAAACTAATCACAATAATGATGGTACCATCGCTGCCAATAAGCTCTCTCAGGGTGTGGGAACAAAATGATGCATTCATGACAAGTTAAACATTCGGTTTTTCTGAAATGCTCCAATTTTGTGACTCCAGTTTGGATTTGCTAGTCAAGTTTGGGGATTTTTTATTTTTTCCTTTATTCTTTGGCCCTAAGAAAGAGAAAGAAAATATTCTGCCTAAGCCGTAATTTAAATGTAAACAGGTGTTTTTCTTAAAGAAAATGCAGGGATCCATTTTAAAAAAAGCATTCTCATTTTGTACTGGGACACTTGTTGTATAGGAAAGTATAAAATACACCTAGGGCTGTAATCAACGTTGCATTTGTGCATGTACCGTATTGCCTGTAAGGATTTTTTTGGCAATTTCTCTCACATATATATTTATTTATATAAATATTTATTTAGTGGGATTATCTGTATAACTTGTCACTTTTCCCCAAAATTACTCAAGCACTTGCTGAGATGATTTGTTCCCCTCTCCCTTCTTATTGAAGAAAACAGACCTAATCTGAGTTAGAAAATATAAATAATCCTCAAACCTTGCTGGGAGGGGGGATGTCAAAATCAAAATCTGCTGTTGGATCGGTATGTTGCAAATGGCCTACAGTAACAAAATGCACTGAATCATAATCTAAATTTAAATGATCCGATTTTGGAGTGGTTTGGATGTGCATCTAAATCTGCAGCTTGAACTAATCTCTATCTACTCTAAGGAATCTAAAATTCAGTATGGTTTTGCCAGCACTTCAATAGGGTTGGAACGCTGTCCAAATGTTTAAAGTATGAAGGTAACATTCAGCAGCTTGCCTTCTCTGCACCTGAAGCTAACATCAATTAGCCTCTGGAATTAAGATCTTGATTCTGCCAGGATCCCTCAAGATACTGCGTTGTTGGCTAGAATAACCTTAAGCGAGACTGCAATTGGCACGAGACACCCCATCCCCCAACCGAACGTGCTGTTCCTGACACAAGTATGCACTTTACGATGACTGGCTTTCATTCAAAAACGCGTGACAGAAATTTCCGTATTTCTGCCTGACAGATTCCAGAATACAGCACCTTCAGGGCTGCCCAGGAATGCATCAGCTATGCAGAGCAGCAACCACGGTCAGTGATTTCCTATATCACATTATGTGATCCTCACTTTCTTTACCTATGGACAATTGCAGCAGCATGTATGGTAAATTCTATCTGCTGACAAACTTTCCGAGACTTTTACTGGGTCCGGCTAGTGCTGCATGAACACTGGGGAAAACAGGGAAAAATGTGGCCTCTGAAGTCTTAAGTTCTTTTTATGATATAGTAAATTAATTGAACTGAAATGAAACAGGAGTTTTTGCTCCAGAACACACTAAAGGAGTTCATTGTGCCCATAAATATAATGACAAATAGGAAATAGCATACACTCAATAGAAGGTTTTTGTTTTCATTTGGGCAGAAGACAACGAAGAGATATGGGAGCCACTGTTTCCAGGGGCAAGAAATCAAATTAACAGAACCTGTCAATTTTTCAAAAACATTTGAACAGCAACTGGAAATTCATTACCATGAGCCACGAACAGATCAGGGAAAGTGCTGGACCTGAGCCGTCGGGGAACTGTCCCCAGCAAAAAAAGAACAGAGCCTAAGCCTTCTACTTTATCCTTTCTCTTAGACTGTCATTGTGGCCCTGGCAGGGGGAATATACTCTTTTCCTCAAGTCTGTACAGTGTAAAGTGACATCCCTTGGTAACAGAGTCTTCATAAATACGTACTAAGTAATAGCTATATGACTGCTACAAAACATGAGGTATATTCTGCAGTATAGAATTGCTGGATAACACTGTCCTTGCAAAAAGTATATTACCTATCCCTTGCACCTCAAACCCGCAAAGAGTCTGAGCTGCCGAAAAAAGCCTAGGAAGAATCCTGAGGATTTTCCCTGAGCAGCTCTGCGCTAATGGTGAATTAAGAACCTGGCGTAGAAAAAAACCAAGAATAACTCCTTCCATACCCCTCCCCCCCAAATCCTAAATCCAAAAGAACAGATAGTGCTGTATGTGCTCTGAGAATACGCTAGAAAGTTTGAACATGCTTGTAGATCTCTAAACTACTTTCCAAGGTAAGCTGCAAGCAGAATTGTTGCAAAGTTTTCCTGTTTTCAGCCTCTAAACCTTTATGAAGGTGGACCATCAAGCTATGATCTGTATTCACAGTAGCGCACTGCTCTGTTTTCCTAGAAGTTATTAAAAGCACTGCTAAAGCTAAGGATGCTAAAGCGTTAGTTTTATTTAAGTGTAGTAGCTTAGATACCAAAAAAAGAAAAGATTATGGGATTCATAAGCAAACTTTCAGCGTCAAGCACCACTATAATTCCACCAGGAACTGAAATGCAACTACTACATTTTGAACAGAATCTACGAAATTACTTGGCTTCATATCTTTTCAAAACAGTTTGGCTCCCACATACACATACATCTAAAGAAGAGACCGCTTGCAAATCTGGCTGGAAGAGTCACAGAGCTTTGGAAACCGAGCTCTATGGAATGACTGGCCTCATTTTAGATGTCAAATTGGGAACAAACACTTCTGAAAACATGACGTCAACTGTAGATGTTGATCACCTTGAAATCAGGCTCTGAGCTCTTTTGACAATCTGGCTGGTATTGCGCCTGGCCTAAGAAAACGAGACACTTAATTAGACAGTAGCAACTACAATATAGTTAGCAAGGCAGCACAGCAGTAGGTAGTCCATATAAGCCAAGCAGTGATGGTGGCTAACGTTTTCAAACTTGGCATCTGATGTTAATGAGGCTGATTTTGAGGGACAGGGTATTTTCAGATATCTTTGAAGAAACTGTTTTTCTTAAGGTTTCCAAAAATCGCTCTTTTCCACATTGGCAGGAAAGCAGCCTCCGAGACAGGAAGACAAGATCCAGTCAGCACACTCACCTTGGGAAGGATGCAGGAGATCCAGGTTCACGTGCCTGGTTTCAGTCAGGCAAAGTAGGAATTTGCTGCTGAATGTTCAGTTATTGAGCTATAATAACTCAGTCTTCATATGTGGACTGTCTATAAGTCACTGAATTAGCAAGAAAAAGATAAACATTGACTTGTATGGTCTGCCTACAGTTCTATATAATGTATAGAATCCAGGCTGGCCTCATCACCAAAAGCAGTCACACTAGCAGCACAAAACTAGTAGCGTAGACTAATCTGCACTGAAAAAAAGTAGCTGTGTTTTCAGAGTGATGTTGGCCATTATGAGTGTAAGTCTCATCCTAAGTTGGTGGAATTTTGACTTTTGTTATTTAAGTGCTTTTGAAAATGTTAGGAACACTCTTAGACATTCCACTAGGAAGAATACAGTTCATTTTGCAAAAATAATTCCTTCCTGAACAGAATCAACTTCTTAATCCTTCCAGCATGGGGAAATGAAAAATTCCAAATGGAAGGGGAGGAGAAAAAAAGATTACAATGAAAAATTCTGCTTAAATTTTATTTCCATTTATACTTTCATAATTTACGAGTAACTACTTGAACATATGAACCATACAGTAATTAGAAGCAGATATGACAGCAGAACCAGGCCCAATGTGTTTCACTGCATGTCACAGAAATTGTAGACCTCTTATCTCCATCACAAGCAATAACCTTAATGTTCTGCTATGATTACAAATAGGTAAGTGAAGCAACTAAAGGAAAGCAGAATACTTTTATGCCAGCTTTTACAGTAGAAAGAAAATTCATATTCAAAAGACTTCTTCTACATGAAATCACAGTGCAGTCTTGACAGTAACCGAAAATACCCAAGGAGGAAACTATGGAGCAATCTGCAGAAGGCCTAAGCAGTAAATCAGCAGGACTTGATGGTATTTATCTGAAGGTTCTGAAAAAAATTAAGTTTAAAATGTGGAGATGCTACTCTTTCAAGTAGCTATCCACAAAGAATGAAAGCACACTAACGGGATGATTTTTCTTTTTTCTTTTGCTTTTAAATAAAATAATCCAAGGAAGATTTTGTTACTGATTATCTGAGTGGAACATCACTTTAGCAAGAGGTGTGCTGCAGATCAGGTCAAAGAAAGCAGAGTAAACAATATAAGAGTTGTTACACGGAGCCGTTTAATTCACATTAAGCCAGCTTTTGAGTTGATCTGTGCTCATGTGACTAGCCACTGAAATGTATATTCTCTGCTCTCAACGATATACGGGATATTATGTTAATGTGTCAACCCACAAGCGTCAGTGTGAGTGAAACCAGATTGCGTGCTACTTCAATGGTCCTCCACCTGCCGCAGAACATAGCCTTGCATCCTATCAGGATGATTTCCACCATTTCCCCTTGTGCACCTTCTCTTTTCTTGAGCTCCTGCTGACCCCTGAATGCCAGTTTCCTGAACTTTAAGACCTTACGCCTCCTAAACAGGGGCTCACGCCTCCATGGCAGCAGTCTATATTATCAGCCTATTCACATCAGACTGGGTAGCTATCAGGAGGTGCCATTCAGGGTGGTAAGCTCTCGATAGCATTGGCCACATAACTAGGGAAGGTCTCATGCTGGGAGACCCTGCAGATGTTCCCGGATCGATATCCTTCATTGTCCTCCGATGCTGCAACCATTGCTGATCAACCCAACACAATCATCCCCCCCATCTGACGTTCATTTTTCAGGCACAGCAACAATGCTGCTCCAAGCAATACACAGATGGACAGAAAGAACAGAACAGAAAAGAGACTATTTTATTATTCTACACTTTAATTCAATGTGAACTCACAGTGAGGCTTCATTCTCTAAGGACATATTACAAGCTACTGTGTTAAACATCTGCACAATTATTCATCAGCCTTCCTGTTTCCTACAAGTTTCCTGTATGACTGAACAGCCATATGCTTAAAACACAACAGCCCAGTAACGCTACACGTAGAAGTGAGGCTTGATTTATGGGAAGTTAAGTTATCGCATTCAGTGCTAAGATGCTGAACATCAGCTGTGAAACGCTGAACATTTTCAAGCCTCACTGAAATCACTGGAACCTGAGGCCATTGCTGAAAAATTTATAGGATTAAGCAAATAATCTGCAATATGTTTGGAGGTTAAACTTGAGAACGGCCATCAGAGATAACTGTTTAGCAACTCCAGACAAAAGAGGTTCTGAATTTTATTACCTATCTTAACGCGTATAGCAATCAGGACTGTGTGCCAGAGCAGAACAGCCAATGTATTTTACACAAGCACCTTCAGACTAGATATTTAAAGGCATTTAGACATTGATTTCAAAGGAAGTTTGGTGCCTGAATATCTTTAAAAATCTGTACCTTTGTGTTCCATAGAACCCAAATTTGCTTCAACAGCTACTGATCCAATAAAATGTTCATGAGCCTCATGGGATGTACAATTACGCAAACTGTTCCTGATCTAGAAAAATACATCTATTTGGAAAGCAACGAGGGAGTCCAAAACCAGCCTAATGCAAAAAGGGAAGGAAACCATTCCTGACTACACATCAATTGGACGAAAGAAAAGTTTAAAGAGCCTCTGTGCCTCCAAATAAGTCTGAATGAAAGGTCTAGAACAGCAAAAAGAAGGCAAAATGCCTGTTTACATTGTAAATAATTATAATTTGGGATGCCAAACAGGGCAGATAATAGACAGATTATTAGCTCTTGCTTTCAACACCTGGTGCACACTGAGGAACAGATCACCATGCCATCATCGATAGCTCTAAAATGAGAAAATGATCGCAGCCTACTCCCCCCTTGAGTATTTAAGAAACAGGGGAAGGTGCATGAACTTGGAGGGAAAGATAAATTAATAAAAAACTCGTTGTCCCAATGAGCAGTGAGGCAACCCAAAGACAGCTGTGATGGTGAACTGCAGTGTGCTCATTCTTTTCTCTGAGTATTAATACAAAAAGCCTCTATCATTTTTTCTTCTTCTTCTTCTTTTTTTTTTTTTTTTTTTTTTCATGTCCTTGTCCACTGGTCTGAACCCTTTTCTTGCTGAAATCAGATTGCTGCATGAGAGATTCTGGAGCATTATTCACCTGGAAGGATGCAGTTGGCTGCACCTGAACAGAATCCTATAATAATGCACCAGCGGATTTAGGAGGCATTATTCAATCCAAACCAAGCAAAGTTAGCATGGAAATTAACATACCTGAATGCTAACCAGAGAAAGGAGAAATACCATTTTGGAGAAGTTAAGAGTTATTCCAGAAATTTTTTTCTCAATTAAATAATTGCATCTAGTTAACAGTCAAGCCAGTCACTGATTTTCTAAGAGAACTCAGAGATGTAATAGGATCTATGTTAATGTGCTATACAGAAAGCATTTAAAATCACAGAAATAAGGACTTCCAGAGGTATTGAGAAGTCTGTTTTGCCCGTCCCACAGAAGGACAGATCTCATAACTCTTAGTCACCTGTTAACTAAAGGGAATCATCCAACAAATTCCACCACCTCTTCTGGAACACTGTTAGAGAGACAGACTTTGACAACAGCTAAAGATGTAGCAGTTCCCTCTTGCTTCTCCTACCAAAGGAAAGGTCAGGGGGACATTCGGCTGGAGCGACTCCCTTGGTAAGGAAGGTTAAAATATCCTTCCTCTACAAGGAGGTGGGCACCACTATTAAGGTTTAGAGCATTTCTAGCTTTTCTGTCAGTGACTTGTCCGTCTGCTTTTTACAGCTTTTTCTAGCTCACTGCTGGTCTGCATGCAGCTTTACAGACATAAAAGGTTACCTTCCTGTTCTTGAGAATTTAGTAAAATGCACTGCAGTCAATTCTGAAACACAGAGCACCTGCAATTCTGCCTGCAGTCAGGGGTATTTTGGATACTTCTCAGGAGTGCCCAGAACAGGAGAGAAACCCAGGAAAAACAGTACAGCAAACAGATCTAACTCTGCCAACTGGAAGAACACTCAGATGACTAACCTGGTGCAGGGACTGACCCAGTTACAGGGCTCATCCTCAAAAAATGGCAGGTGCTCAAAGAGCTGGTTGAATCATGATGAAATGCCTACTCATTTCAGATCTTACTGCGTGGAAAATGACTTCTTATAGATAATGGACAGCATAGGATTCAACTCACCAGCGCTCCTCACAGTCAAAATCAGAAGTAAAGCAGCTGCTCATATGCTGAGGATCTGCTACACAACCAATCCTGTTTTTCAATCTTGTGCAGTTTTTACGAACAATATATCCCCTGAAAGCTAAACAAACACAGTTATAAATCAGAGTAAAACTTTGCAGAGTCTGAAACACAGACTGACAATTGGCTCTGCAGTCCAGAGATTAATACCTTCGACTCTCACTGAATCAGTGACGAGAAAGAGCACATAGCACCTCACGGGAACAGGTCTAACGTTTGCAATGCTTGCAATAGTTGGAAATCACACAGGATCTTATTCTCACTCTTACAGTGACCACTAGGCATAGCCAAGGCAGGGAAAAGAGACCTTGAAATGAGAACATACCTAATTTAGCTTAGAATGTATTAAAATACATAGTAGAAAAATGTTCCCAAAACACTATTTAGCCACAACTCCCATGATTTGAGTTAATCAGAATTTTACAAAATGAGATGTTTTACCTGCTTTTTTGTGGGGGTGGGGAACCAGGAGGAGGAAAATTCAGTGACAACTGGAAAAAGGCACAATGTCTTCTCCTATTTTTCAATTAACTGTAACCATAATGGAACAGTTAAAATGTCTCTCATACTTAGGAAAAAAAACTACACAGATTGGAATTTATACCATTCATAAAAAAGAGAGCAGAATGAAGCAGTCAGTACAAATACTAAATGAAACAGTAAGTGTGCAGTGAAATGAAATGATAAATAAAAAGGCAATGAATAACATTTTGAAGATATCTACATCCTTTATTTCCATATAACATCTCTGGATTTGGGTACCTAAATAACTAAGTACTTTTAGACTTTTATCTGATGCGAATTTGTTTGAAACCCTGGCACTTGTGAGCAATTGGTAATAAAACTCCAGCACAAAGCACCGATAATGATATATGCTGCATTTAGAATAAAGACTTTAGTAAGTATTGCAATGTACATATAAAAACAAACTTTTAAAAAATAATTTCTTTTATGGTTTGTATCAAACATTATTCTAAGTAAAACCTTGATGAAAGGGCAGAAAGGGTTGAATGGCAAAGAAGCTAAGTACGGTATCAATACCATAGTTTAAACGTTCAAGAAGCCGCTGAACAAGAAGGCTGACGGCAATAAGGGAGAGGAGCTGTTTGGAGGTTAACAGGACTGCAACTTAAACAGTGAGACAACACATAACAGAAAACTGGAGCTAGCATCAGGAAATGTTACGACTTTGAAGAAAAAAATCACTGTCTAGGAAAAGGTTTTAAGCACACTAAATGCATACAAAAGCACAGAGTAAGTTTGGGGACTACTTACGCAGAGGAAGAGGAAGAGAGCCCTGTCATTGCAGTTCTCAGAATCTAGGGTTAAATATTACAGTGACATCAATGGGACGGAGGACAGGCATGGGAGTGTGGTTTAGGGCAACCTCATGTAGGATGTGGGCCCAGATAATGTTGTAGATTGCACAGGAAAAGCAGGAGGTAGAATAAACTGGGCAACAGAGAAGTTGATTAGAAGATTAAGTTTTGCCCATATCCCATGCCTGTGATTTTAGGAAACAGAGTGTTTAAATGGAATTCCATATAGAGGTAGGCATTACCTAACAGATGAGGGAATAAAGTCCCTAAACAATTCGCATTTTCTCAACTATTACCAAATTATGGGATAATTCATTAATTTTCTTTTTGCTCCATTTAACTACTCTTTTTAAATTTAGCTTCTCATTCATGTTTCTGCATAATAAAAAGATGATGGAGGAAACAAAATAAAGCTACCCTGATCACTTCTTCTCTTTCCCTTAGAAAAGGGCTGTAACTGATCCCTTTTGTCTATTTTAATTCTCTTACAGTTAACTGCCTTCTTTTCAGCCACAACCTCTGTAAAAATCTGTGTTTTTGCATTTATCTGTGCAATATAAACAAATTAAAACCATCTTAACAGCTCAAGCAGTGGCATGCAATGCACCATAACAATCTAAGCGTTTCAGTGCTACTGAGGTTTCTAGAGCAGGAAATAGCAAAAATTGCCTTTTAATGAGAGGCCACTAAAATAACTAGCCATTCACTTTACAGAAGGCATGACAGAAGCTGGGCCTGCTGAGGTGTTGTACTGAACACAGGGCTCAGGTATCATGAGGCTGAGGAACTTTCCACCCTTAATAATCAGACTGGAAAAGTCTGCCTATCTGGCAGAGACGAGGCAAACGTTCACTTGCCTCATGTGATCAGGCTTCCAATCCTTAACTATCCCCTACTGACCAGACAAGAAGCCTACTCTGATATTGGCAGCAAAGACAGCTGGCCAGCAGCCATCTCTCTGCAGCTGAAACATGCTGAGTATCAGTCTATGCACTACTGTAAGGATAAAGAAGCACTGAAATAAATGAACAATATAAACTTCAGTTTTCTCCTTAAAAATTTCTTGCCATTCAGCAATGTTTTGTCTTTGAGTGAGTGAGTAAGTGTGTGTGAGACATGTACTATGATTCTTTTTTTTTTTTTTTTTTCCCCTAGAATCTCTATTAACGGAAATAAAACCATTTTGGTCTTCCCCTCATTCAGTACATATAACCCACTATGTCTGATTTCATATACACAGTTTTCACTCTTATCTGCTGTTTTCATCAATATTTTCAAAATCAACTCTCCTTCAACTTAATCTTTGCACAAGCTGGTTTCTAACATTCTTCTAGAACTCCTTGAACCTGACAGGTAATGGCTGTATTTTTCCTACCTTGTCTTTGACTTATGGGATAACTGAAGTTGGAGGATAAACAAACATGTCTTTCAAAAGCTTCATGCAGCAGAACTGCATCTTTTCAGCATTTATTAACTGGATCTAGAATGTTTCAACAGAAATGCATATGCAGAGAATTCTACTGGGGCAGTCTGAGAGGTCGGGAAGCTGCTCCATCACCACAATTTGCATTACTGACTGCTGCTGGTTTTGACACTAAGCACTTGGCTCAAAGAGTGTGAAATTAGCAGACTCATGTTGCTACTGCTCCATGAACAATCACTGCATCATTGAAGAAGAATGATTACCAGCTGTCACCTCATTTTCACCTTATGCATTCTATATTTCAAACTTTACAGCAACAGTATCTTTAATCCTGATCTTTCCATAGCTAATGATGACAGGATCTGAACTCAAAGCAACAGGGGATCTATTATTCTTAGTTGCTCAGTGCTAAACATTTTATGTGCCACAATTCAGGACATGAATTTTTACTTCTTATACTGACTGATTCTCAGACAAAATGAGTTTTCAGTCAGCTCCAGCAGGTAGCAAACTGACAATATATCTACCTCAAAGATTTTGAAGTGCGGTGTTTCTCAGTTAAAGACCTTTATTCTAAGGTCTAAGTACCAAGGAACATATATTACACCCAAAGTTGTACAACTGCAGATAGCAGAAGTCCAGGCATTTTCCCTCTGATTCCCACAGGAAATATATAGCGACAGAGTGAACTGTGAAGCACGCTGTAGAAAGATCAAAGCTAAACAATCACAGATCTATATAAGAAGTACCTAGAAAGGAGATGAAACAGTATTTTAAAAACAGCAAATGATTCATTCTCAGTCATAAAAGATCATGTTAAACAGACAAACATTTTAAAACTATAATAACACCTAAAATAACGTGTAACAATTTGGAAATGAAAGTTCATACTTTGCTGAAGAGAAGGTGTCACAATAGCATGGCAGTTTGTATTAGCATGAGCATTTTCAAACTTAGTTACCTACAAACAGCATACGAATTGTTTACTTTGCCTAGTTAAATGAGCATTCAGCAGCTTAACTACCAGCATCTGAGAGGATACGGCGCCCATGAACATGATCCTTTGCTCAATGTCAAACTAATTCTAATGAATGGTACAAGGGATGGAGAGTCGCATCCTTTAGTAGGGTCCCATTAATGTCTCCTCTCTTTCACCTTCACTCAGGGTGGATTTTGGGAGATGTGTGTTTAGTAGCAGGAAAAGCAAATCTTGCCCCACTTGCTCTGGCAGGAGCGTTAACAGAAAGCATGTCACAAGTTCTCGCACACGACTGAGAGCTATCCAAGCACCAAGCAGTGACTATTGAGAAGATTCACCAAGGCTGCCGTCAGGACTGGCGTCACTGATGCATATCACCACTTGCATGTGGAGTTTTAATTACTGCACACTACAGTAACAAGTTCTGGTCTTGGAATTTGGTCACAGAGAAAGAACGTGCAGATGAATCTGAGAGCCTGTGTCAGTATCAGCAGGCGAAAGGACTAAGTTTTCCAAGGCTTCTTGTCCCTTGCTGATTTTATCAAGGGCACGAAACCCAGTAAGCATAGTCTCCATCACGGATTTACCGTGTTCTCCTTTCCATCTCCTCAAAAATGGGAGAGGAAAGCAAAAGAAAATGTAGGAGTATTTGCATGGATGGAGCCTAGCTCAGAGTTGGGGACAGAATATAGGACCTCGTACTTTGAAACTGTAAGACCTTCTCACTTTCCCTAACATCTTCCCTGCAGATGAGCAGCAGGCTTTTAATGGTGCAAGTCAACCAAAACTGTTTGGTTTGGACTGAATGTGAAATCAAGATAATACAATGAGTCAGCTTAGCTATAACTAAGAGAAACACATACATCTCTTCAGTGGTTCCTACACTAACAATGTTGTTTAAGAGGAATAAAATCAACAATATAAAAAAGTAAAACTAGACTTGCTACTTAGTGTTTGTTACTTCCAGGAAAATTCAAATAAAAAGATTTTCTTTTTTGGATATAAAGTGCTTAGAAGTTTTCGGGACATTTTACCCACGTAATTCATAGATCTATGAACTGTATTACTGTATAACTGTATTAGCTGAATACATGCACGCACACACACATATATACTGATATAAATACACAGATAAATACAGGGTTTTCAAGAAATATCTCCCTGTCTGCCATTGAAGTCAGCATTAAATATTTGCTGTTGAAGATCCCAAAGGTAACACTTAGATTAAAAGCTTACATTTATTATAAATGTAAAATAGTGTACTATAGCTGTTCTCCTGAAACCCTCCTTTTTCACTCTTATGAAGTAAATTTTGCCATATGTTAGAGATATGTAAATAGTAAGCAACACTGAATGGGCAGAAGTTACAGCACTTTACAAAGGGATGCCTCCTCTGGTTTCTTCCTATACATCCATCACTTTTTGTTACAAAAGAGAGCCCAAATCCTGAGTTCTTGATAAAGAATTTTCCAATACAGTGTGACATATGGTGAGTGTGTGAGCACGTGTTGGAGGAGGAGATGGTGGCTCAATGGATTAGTCATTTGCCTTTCACCTCTGGAAGCACAGTTAAACTGAGTCCTGACCAGAGTTGCACAGTATATTCCAGATGGCTAAAGTGGGCCTAATTAAAATGAATTCAGTGATGTCACCTCGGATCTAAGTGAATCGCATGCACCACTCATTTGGCATTTTGGCAATGTCAGCTCACAAATGAAATAAACAGATTAAAGTCCTCCCTTAAGTCTTTGGGGAAAAGAGTCACTCCACATGGAAATACATGCTATCCTAACAAGAAAATGTACTGTTATAACTGTATTTTCTCTCTTTTTTAAAATTCTAATTAATGCATTATCCTATTAAATGAGACTTGCATGTGAGGTAAATCAGTGTTGCAACAGTTCAGTTAGATGATTCAGTTAGTGGATATACCCTAATTTAAACCAGCTGTGAATCTGGCAACATAACTTGAAAAATTATTTTAACAAAATCTTTTTCCTTTTATGTAGACTTAAAAAATATACAAACCCTAATTGTAAGAAAATACTTACAGAGAAGTGCAAAGTATCACTATCTTGAATACTTTACACAAAATCATTCTTCACAATGTAAGTAAAGTAAAAAATTCCTCTCTAAGTAAAAAATTAACGACCTCTAATTTTCACAGTTTGGGAAACTGTCTTGAAGAAGTGGGCAAGATCTTGTATACCCTGAAGATTTTAGCCATGAGTGTAGCAACATCTGTGTATCTGAGAACCTGTAATGTTGATGTGCTGAAGTCGGGTAGCTTTTTTTCCCCACCTAATTTAAATTCAAAAACACTTTGTTTCCCAGCAAGGGTGTTTCCCCCCCATCTACAATAATGACTTATTCTGATTTAATATTATACACTTAGGAAATGTGTCCTCATGTATTCTGTGAGGGTTTTTTTCCCCTGTAAGTTTGTTTTTTCTTCCAACATTTCATCAATGGAGAGTGAATTGCTGGGCCCATAGAGATCTCCAGACCACCAGCTCATGTATTTGAAAGGCATCTGTTTATTTTTAAAATGCAAATGCAGCTACCTCAAAGGCTGACTTGCAAGAAATGAACAATCTGAACAAGTCAAGAGGTTTCCAATCAGGAGCTGTGTTCCTCCTTTATATCAGGCTATGATCACTTGCTGTCAAAACCACTTAAACAATATCCTGGAATCTGAATGAAGTCCCCCCACAATTAAAATGAGCAGGATAATCCTGCAAGAATTATTCAGGCAAATCATTTTTCACACAGTTTAAAGTAATGATAAGGTCATTTACAAAAGAAATCAGCGCCTTTGAAATGCTGACTTGTAGACAGAGGACTGCCTGGAGGAGGGCCATAGATAACAGTGAAGACTGGCCTCCTAACACTACCCTTGCAGTCTTTGGAACTGATTCTGATGAAGAGAAGGCCCAATAAGGTTAATACCCCTACTTTGATCTCTGTCAAAGCGTACCAGCAAGAATTAATTTACATTTCAGATGAAAAAGGTTGACAGCATGAAAAGGCATCTTGTTTCTGGTATGTGAATGTGCTGTAATAGATCGGGAATTCTGAAAGGAAGTTCTGAGGAAGCTAAAGGGATAAGCCGAGCGGCTGCTTTTATTGGGAAAGAGATGAAAGGAAAACAAATTTCAATATGCGCTGCTCTGTAGAAACATGTAAGCCAAATGCTTCCTAAATTTCAAGGCCTGCTTTCATGGCAGGGGAGGAGGAGGGAAAGTAGAGGGAAGTACATATATTTTAATTATATGGTTTTGCTAATGTCTGGGTGACAAATGCAAATAATTTATCTCACTGCCTGCAATTGATCATTTTTTAAAAAAATACAAAGGTGATCATACTCCTTCTTATTGAAAAGCTGCCTTTAACTACACACTGTGCAGGGAGGAGAGAGGTTTAGGCTTGCATTTGTCTCCTTGTCACTAGACGCTTGGGCAGTGTTTCTGTAAACAACAGAAAGACTGATAGAGTATTTTAAAACCCAGAAAATGGCCACTATTTGAAACCATGAACTTTTTTTTTTTTTTTTTTGAAACACAGAATGATTAGCATGTAGAAAAGAGGAAACAGGCACAAAAATAATTTTCAATTAAAAAGTCCTAGATATAAGTTTACAAAGGCTGAGGACAACATGTGATGAGGATTCTTATTATTATACCTCATCTAATGCAGTGCCAACAGTAGGAGGTGCAGCCAGCCTAATTAATATAAACAAGGTACACTGTGTCACTCTTAACTCTATAGTCCTAATGCCCATTCAGCCAGTCTGATCACTGAAACTGTGAAGTGGCAGGTTACAAAAGAGCACAGTGTGCGTGTTGGTGTGTCTCGGGCTT